ATCTTTTAATATATGATTAAATCTTTTATAAATCCGAATTATATTTAAATAATAAAAAAATAGAATAATAAACATCACGGACGAATTATATTTGACTCTAACAAAACATTATTAAATAATTTCTGTTTATATCATAGATCGATTTCGAAACGATAATATATTATTTATTATTTTGAATTTCTATTACTACAACTTTCACTTTACTATAAATATAGTTACATATTATTATTGTAAAGATTAATTACTTATTGTTCATTATATTATTATAACAAACAACTTTTCGATATTTATCACGATCGCGTTTAGAAAAGAAATAACGGAACATTTCGCACCACTACTTTTCTGTTCGAGTATCATTGTGCGACTAACACCAGATCATGACGTGTATAAACAATAACCCGCCATATGCCATCAAGATCGAACACCATGTTATTGCCCATTCATTTTCAAAATATTTTACATACTTTAACATATATATGCGCGGAATATAGAGAGAATATAGAGAGAGAAGTATTTTTTATAGATTATATAAAATTATATAAAAAAATTATATAAAATAATTAAATAATTATTTATTAAAAGATATATATATATATATATATATATATATATATATAATATTTTATGGAGCCTTCTATTATATTAATTATTTAAATCTAGACTAGATTATTTTAATCGAGCATTTTCTGGATTATATTTAGATGGCCAAAAAATAAAACGATAAGTTATTCCGTACAAATTTTATTTGACTCCTAATATTATTAAAAAAACTTTTGCTCGTATAAATCGATTTCATATTAAAACGATAATTTATTATTTTGAATTTGTCATTACGAGTCTTACTTGATTAAATAAATAAATTACGTGAAATATGCGTTTCGAAATCTATCACGTTATACGTAGTTACAAAAAATATATTTTTTTATGAAAGATAATTAATTATTAATCACACCTTGAAAACGTGATGATATACTTTCAACTAGGCACCCATAAAAATAATAAAAAATTATTTAACGTTGTTAATAATATTTAATATATATTTAATTGGAATTTATGCCAATTTTATTGGCAGCGCCAAGTTTTTTTAATTAAAATTTTTTTTACTTTCTTGTTTTATATTAATTTTCAGTTTCCAACTTTTAAATAAATTTTTAATTTTTTAATATTATTATTTTTGAAAATCAAAGCAACTATTTTGTATAACAATGTTTTCAATTAAAATATTTCTATTTAACTTGTATAAGTTTTCTTCCTTATATTTCTATTTATTTTGTACAAATTTTTATTCTTAGTTGGCGCAATTTTTTTATATCACTATTTTTGTAGACAATATAACAATTGGATACAATTAGTGCATGAACTTGGTGCCCTTTTTTACCTTTTTTTAAAAAGATAAGTTTTTGAAGATTATTGTAATATTCCATGCAATTTTTCATACTCAAAATACACCAAAAGTGGATATATTCGTCAATATTGATTTTCAGTTACTTTTTGCTGGGATTGTACATACAAAGCATCCTTAAATCGAGGCGAATGCACGCTGCATGCACGTGAAAATAGAGCTCCATCGCAAAATCGATACAGCCGCGGATAATGTTTATAATACCCCATATCATTAATTATTTTCGTCATTAATTCGCATACGAATGATTAATGCGCGCGATGTGATTAATTAAATAAGTCGGGAATTAACGCTTTCCCAGGATTGAATGATGCATCGATCGTTATTTGAATCATGATATTACGTACATACATCGCCGACTTCTCTCCCGGGACGCATTCTGTAAACGTTGACCTGATTTTTCATCGACTTTCCTTCCCGCGTTCGTTGACGGGGAAAACGACGGACCCTTCAACGTTGTGATCGAACACGTGTCACAGGTATAAATAAGCCTCGACTTTTGTCACGGCACACGTGTTCACGCGTGCACGTCGACATGACTTTCGCTGGTTCTCGCTGCTGCAACACGCAATAATTTCGACGTCTGTCACCCAGTGACGTGCCAGTGCGCAACCCAACTTCGTATGAATTATTGCACGCCTGCACAATACGCTTCCCTCTGTCGTTCCGTCGTATGCGTTCGATAAAGGCGACTGTGGAGAAGCTAACGGATATGCGGATCACGATCGTGTTGGAAGAACGATCTCCGTTTCGACATCCGGTGACGTTCGGAAAATTCGACAATTCGATTACGTATCGCTCGTAAACGTGAGATTCCTCGTCTTGTGCGTGTCGGAAATTAAACATTTCAAATAGAAATGTTATCGTGGAATTCCTTCTCTCCATATTTATTCAATAATTATATTTATTTTTAATAAAATGATTGTAATCACTCGCGTTGGAGGCAGTATTTTATTTTATTTTAGAGAAAATTGGCAAACGACTTAACTTGAGCAATCGAAAAAATATTGCGATTAAAGATCTAATTTAATTTATTTCTCCTGCAAATTTAGCAGAATGATACACAGAAAAAAAGGATATTCTTGTTTTGAAAATATCTTTAATTTTAACATGGAAATTTTGAAATTATATTGCGTTAATTAAAGAAAAATAATTGCTTACTTGAATGAATCCATTTTATATAGTTCAATCAAGAAAAATATGTTCTTATGATTTAAGATTTAATTTTCTTGAATAGAAAGGAAACAATGTTAGGTAGAAAATAACATTTTTAAATCAAAAATTATAATTTTCTTAAAGTAGAAATAAATAATTATTATACATTATTAAAATAAGACTATAATATTATTGAAATTTGAAATTATTAAATTCTTCTAAGAAGATTATAAATTGTTGCGTATATATGAAACAATGAATACGTTAATTTAAGTATATAAGTTTTGATTTGACACTTATTTTTCTTCTGTGTATTTACCACAAATCTATTATTTTCTTTTATAACTTTCTCGCACAATCGTAAGTCGACGATCGACATAGTCGATTATACTCGATATATCAAAGCGATCATCTTTTATCGCAAGCGGTAAATAGTAAATACGAGCTGTAGAAATGCGAATATCGTGGAGTGACGTTACAATTTCGCGGATTTTCATGCCACAGGAGGAAGACTCGCATAAATCCTCTTATTTATCGTTCGCCTTTTACGCGGGAATACATCTGAGACTCGATGCAGCCGCCTGGTCGATTGGATTCGTGACATATCACGACCGGCAATAATGCGCATCTTCGTGTAAGCAGCGTCTCCTAGATTTATGTACCGTGCACAGGAGATGCCTATTAAGCGACGCGCGAAACGAGTTTCGTATTTTATACGTATATCCGTCCTCATAATTTACAGTTACACACACTCGGAGAGTCGGACGTACAATTCCGAGCAGTCGTGCATTTCGGATCTACGAGTCGGGACGATTTATTGGTTAATCTCGCGCTCTTCTCGCAAATTTTTCATTAACGATAACGGACGCGAGAACCGCACATCTATGTAAAAAAGTTGTGTTTTTATTAAACGTGATGCGGCAGCAATCTTTCGATCCGATCTTGGATGCGCACGCGAGAGGATTTCTTTCGAAATGGAAGAGCCGAACGTGTCTTCCTCTTCGAACAAACGACGATGAGAGCCTCGCGTATAATTTTACAGCGGTGCATAAACCAGATGCAACGATAAGTGCCACGTCTGCTGATTGATGAGTGTATAACGTAACACTTGTGCAGCCCCGTTCTCTTTCATCGGACGCAAACGCGAGACGTAAACGACGGCAGAAATTACGGGCGATTACGCGAGCGCCTTTCAAGCATGAATGAGATGTACGCGCGTGACAAGTTCCGTCCTGAAATTTTCGCTAGACGAATCTCGATGCTAGTGCTAGCACGTGCTCAGCTACGATCTGACATTTCTGCTACAATGCGCAACGAACCGATCCCGCGCGATCTCCGACACGTGTAGAGAAAGCGTCGTGTGGCTCGAGAACCATATACTTTTTCTTTCGTCTCACGAAGAACGTCTTTCGAGATGTTCAGATCGTTGTCATCGAGAAAGAGAGAGAAAGAGAGAGGAGGGATTCTCAACAAATTCTTGCGACACGCGTCGAATTATGCATGGGATTTTTCAAGTTATGCGTAAAGAGAGTTATTTTATTGAGAGAGACGCCGACTTTCGAAACGCCGAGGCTAATCGACAATCAATCGACAAGATGGATCATCGCAGATAAACGTCGACGAAAATAAAGAAGTCACCTTTTTATCTTGCGTATGAAAGATAGACTTTACTCCGTCTTTCATAACGCACGTTTCACGTCATAGATGAGACGTTTATCATACAACGGTTGCAGCAATAAAATGGAGTAACCAAATAAAGCTATGTAAAAAGGTTCTTTTTCAAATTTAAGGGAATGCCGGAGTCTTGTTTTATCGATAAAATGTTACATTTCATTTTTGTCCGAAATCTTTTTATTAGTTGCACAAAATAATAAATATTCCTCCACGATTAAAGTAGATAAGGCCTTTTATATTAAGCAAATATTATTATGACCTTTTTACGATTTTCCAATTTTTTTAAATTTTTAATATAAAACCAGGAGGTTCCCGCTTTGTTTCTGTATGTACTTTAATCGCGGAGGAGCATTTATTATTCTGTGCAATTAATAAAATGATTTTGGACAAAAATGAAATATGACATTTTATCGGTAAAACATCCTCTTAAAATAAAATCGGGGCTTAATATCATCCATTAAATGGGAAAAATCCTTTTTATTGATTACAGCAAAAGCCAAATCAAGTTTATTGTCCGGCAAAGAGGCAAATCCTCCATTCATCCTGATGTAAAATCCGTGCGTAGGAGTCTAGAATGCGCGATAATCTCAAACCTGTCTGTCCGGCGAATCGCACGCGAATGGGAGCGACAACGTCGAAAGGAAGATTGACGACTAATCGATCGTCGAGATCGTTAATTTTTCTTCCCACGCTCGCACCCGGAGGAAAGAGACTCTCAGATTACTCTCCATTTCCCCACCGTCGAGATTCTCGATCGTGGGCATCGCAGTCAGTCGTCTCAGTCGCGTGTATCCGCTCGACTCGGCGCAGAAGTGCTCGCGGGAAGGTCTCAAGGCGATGATAATTTTCGCGTCCGAGGATCCTGGCGTCTGGCGGAGAGCTCTCTTATCCGGTTCGCGTGCGACGAGCTTGCGTGTCGAGGAATCGCAAGGAAACGCGAACGCTGGTTCCATACGTGAGTGCCAAGAGCGCAAAAGTGTCCGGGTCTTATTGACGCGGCCGTATTTGCGACGAGTCCTGTTTACCGATACGAGCGGTTGACGCAGCAAGGATCTCCTCTGAATGGGTAATGATCGCAAAATAAAATTTGAGTCGACCGTCGTATTTTCCGGACAGTTCTCGGAGAGAATTTGTAAGAAGAATTTTATATTTACACGATCTTATTCGTGACTTGGATATAATACTCTACCATTCCCCAATGATTTGTGCATTATAAATGATAGTATGAAACTAAGAAAATACTCGAACGTGATGTCGTTGCGTTATTCTTTGAGAAAATCTTCATCGGAAAGAGAATTTCTTCCTTACGCTTTCATGTGTATATTTTATATTTTTCCTTGTATACACATATATGATACTCATGTAAGATTAATTTTGTTTGATTCCGCTGGATCGTTGCCCATTTTTCTTTCCACTATATATTTTATAGGATAGCATCGTGAAAAACTCGATAACATTATTTTTCTAAATAAATATCTCTCCCGAGGAGAGAATTTTCGCGAAGAGAGTGTACGTGAATCCCCATTCAATGTTTTGCAGGACGTTTTATATCGGCATTTATCGGAGCGAAACGGGTTTTTCAGAGAAAAGATGCGATATATGTTTATCGGAGTGAAACGAGTTTTCAAAGGACAACTCGTAATATCGAAGCAGATCAACATTTCTCTCTCAGTGAAAGAAAGATCCTCCTCAGGATCTGGGTTGCTCGTGACTTCTTCATCACCGTTAATGCCATTTCGTAATAGAACAGTCTATCCGTTGATATGACGCATATGATCGCGAGTATAGAGCAACAGAAGGTATCAGTTGAGAAATGTCCGATCGTTTCCAAGTGATCCCTCTGTAATTATTGCGATAATTGACGGAAATACAAAATAGTTCCCAGCTCTCTAGTTAACTGCTTATTTGACGGCAGAACATTCTCTTTCTATCATATCGCGATAAATATACCCGTTGCTTGTGTTCCATTTCTATTGTGTAATTCGTGAGTGGACCAAACATGGGAACTGAATAGTGAATTGATAGTTACACGAAAAAAACGAAATACACTTTATATAATATACAAATTTATGTAATGCAGAGAAAGAAAAGAATAGAGAAAGTAGAGATAGAAAGAATAATAATAAAGATTTTTACAAAAATAATAGGATATAGAAATAGCATATTAATTTTTTAATGATAAAGTGTTTATAACTTTTCAATAATTTATCTAATAATTATAGATCTTATCTAATTATAGATCTTCGCATTATGAGGAAAACTATTATGTTATTTGTTCAATGATTTCGATTACCCCACTCGAACTTGTAGATGCGTGCATACATTAAGATGCAAATATATCGTTGTGCAATATCATGTCTCAATTATCGATTAATAAGCGATTCAACGTAAATAAAATTACACTGATATGTATTTTGAAATCTTCGCTTTACAAGTCACACGGAATGATTTAATATTCTTTTGTTGAAAGCTCAAAGAAGGTCAAGGCTCCAACAAATCATCAGATTTATTTGACGCCGTTTTATTATCTTCGAACAGACAGAGCACAATCGACTTGCACAATTTATTATCCTTACAAAATATATATGGCAGAAAAAATCGCAAACGTTCGAGAGAATTACAAGCTGGTATATTGCATAAATCAATCACGCAAAAAACAAATGTGATCAAGATAGTCAAAGATCAAGGATCAAAATTTATTTGTCGAGTGAGATCTCTGCGAAATGATTAGCTAATATTCACAAAGTTATTTATTCTAGTTATTGCTAATTCGAAATATTACTTGAAACTTATTCCAATGTTTATTATTTGTATTATTAATAAAAATTTAAATTATTCACAACATATATCTTTATATTTCATATAAAATTTTAATACAGCATTATTAAAATTAATATTTCCTGATAATTTCCTAATAAAAATTAAAAAAAAATAAAATTTAATTGAAATTTAATTCGTAAATAAAATATAAACATTATTACTGGTAATAACCTGTAAAATATACAGATCGTAAATATTCAAGCAAGTATTCAACCGATGACAGTTAATGCCAAATAAAAAGGATACAATTTATATTATTATTAATTACCGTTCCGTTATTATTACGATAATTATCGACTATAAAATTCGCACAACGATTATTAAAACATTTGTCTCAATTAAACTGCGATAGGCCTGTTTGACTAAGCGCGATGGCGAAACAATTCTCCCTTTGGGAAACTGAATATGTAGGAGGAACTAATGAAACGATAAACCAAGATTTGCAAGTTTATTGCTTCCCCAACACTTGACCCGGATTTAAACGCGAGAAATTCATTCGGTAATAATACTATGCTATGATGGCGTCAAGAAACATCGATGACTACGAGAAAGTATATTTCTCGCTTTAAATATTATTGTCTGCCTCTGCGTTCGCCTACGAATCTTTTTGTCAATCTCGTTCAGGTAGCAAGAAAACCTACGTAATTATTCTCGACAACAAGTATGACAACAAGGATCTCAAAATCAGACGCAATAATTCATGAAAGCAACAGATGAGAGAATTTAAAAATTTCAGACTAAATTATTTTGTCTCTCTCTTTTCTTTTCTATCAATTAATTTAGCATGAATTTATTCGCTTGGCAATTAATTTATTGATAGAAAATTTGGAAATCTCGCGATAAATGATATAATTTATGAATACCGAGATTTACAAGCTCATCTCAAGTGATATTCGAGCCGGATATCGGTAAAGGTGATTAATTCACGAATAATCCTCCGTGAATAATTGCGCGGTCACGAATATTCAAGAACCTCGATCACGAGAAAGTGATATTCGTCATCTGATAATTGGCTACAAATGTCTCTACTCGAGTGCTGTTAAGATTTCGCTACAAAAATCGCGGTTATAATTTTTATTAAGAACAATCTCTTCGTGATTCACTGATGATTTCCATTTAATCGTTTAATATGTAAGAACGGAAATTTATCGTTCGTTATCCAATTGACCTGAATATGAGATCAATTCGTGATCACTCGAGTGCGACGCTTCTCATTGATATAGTGAGATGTGCATTATCGAATAATAAATGCTTCCTGTCAAGTACACTTAACGACTGTTCTCTTCTACGTAATCGAAAAGAAATCGGTAAGATAGCAAGGAACTTATTATTTGATATGATCGAGTATCTTTCTGTCAAAAGTCTCGTCAACTGTCAGTGATTTAAAAATATTTTTTTTATTCCAATTTAATGATATATCATTTTTATATATTATAATTTATTAATATATTATTAGGTAATTTTTTATTTTATAATTTGTAATTAATTATTTGTTATTATTTTATATAATTTGTAATTATAATATTTAATATTTAATTGAATTTAATTAACAACTATACATATACGTATGTTTCTTTTATATTAGAAATATTATATTAAATATCTTAAGAAGTATGTTTATATATTTACTAAATTAAATTAATTATGTTAATATCTACAAATTAATATATTAAATTAAATTAAATTAAATTATATTTAAAATATTTAATATAACATTTCTAAAAAATACATAATAATTGGTATCCAATCCATTGACTGAAATTGAATGACTAGTAAGTTAACATCAAATCCGACGTCATGTTGGTTCGTCATCGATTATGCACAGTGATTCATGAGTGATCGAATACCCGCAAAACGGAGATGATCGCGAGAAAGTGAGCGATTCCGTGGCTGTCGCGTGTTCCCCTCGATTTCTCCGCAAGTGCCGGCAATTGATAAAGATGACGCCATTTCTCATTACGACCATTCATGTTCCCCCATAATAATTACGCTACTACGCGAGTAGTCACCCGTCTGGCATTTCTGTCATATCCCGCATGGACGACACGCGTGCACGCAGCACTTGTTTCAGGCGTGATGATGATGTGCGCACCTAATTGGCGGGATAATTATCGCTGTGCACACAGCTACGCGGTGAGTTTCGGACATGTCGGAACGATGACTGTCTCTCCCCGACATAATTAAGCCAATTTATCAATTATTTCAGCCCAAGGTTTTACGATCACCCGCTAATCCACTCTCTTTCCACAAGTTCCGAAAATTGACTACAATTTACATCAATCCAGATTAATTTCAATTATGAAATATATGCTATCGCTTATTGATTTCTAATGATACAACTGTCATGATAAATTTAATGAATATATTTAGTGAAATAGTCGTTAAAAGATTACGCAAAAAAAATTAATAATATAATTTCTAGCTTTCCATTTATTATTGTGAAGGAGAAGGAAATGCTCTGTGATTGGCACATAATTAAATTTTGCTGATTTAAATCTCTTCAATGATGTTTAGTTAGGTCGTGAAAAGTTCCCCAAGCTAACAACTGCGCAAATAAAAACTGCTGAAATTGCCGACGAATGTAAATAAAGACTGAAATTAGGTACTGCGCGTATTTAATAGTGTATATTAAACGGCGTGCAATTAGTGTGCGAGGGCAACGCGTGGTTACCGCAAAGTTGCATTAATCTCGCAACGATGCGCGTGTGCATCGCATAACTCGCGTTGCAACAACAACAACAGCATCAGCGGCAAAGCAAACCGACATTATATACAATTTAAACCGACATTGTTGCTGTCATACCCGACCAATGTTAACCTTAATTCTCACATCATCTCGACATTCCTTTCTCGTCACGTAAAATATTAAGACGCGAAATATTTCAGGCATCTCGCGACGTTAGCGTATCACAAAGAATGCAGAGCGGAACTTCCGTGCATCGCTTCTTGAATATTTCCGGAGAGCGAATGAAAAAGAGAGAGACAGAGAGAGACTAAGGGCATACTTTTAAATTAAAATCTATGAAAATAAAAATGTAGGAGATAAAAAAAATTGAAAGGAATGTAGACAAATTGCTAAGGAAATTGATATTAAACTACTAGGATATTATAACTTCGGCTCTGTAATTTTTCGGATTTTTTAAATGTTTTGTACACACTGAGAAAAATCGTTTGATTGTACCAACAAGACGTATATGATTGAAGGCATTTTGATTAAATCAAACAAGAATTTCTAATTATCATGAT